AGCGGCGTCTTCGGTTCTAATGACTGGTGGGAAGTTCCATGTATTTTACCTCTATGGGATCATCATCAAAGTCATTGATACCAATTAGTGGTTGGTGATCCTGGCTATTGTAACCAAGTGTAAACAACAGTCTTTGGAATTTTTACAAGAGGCCAAATGTGACCAATTGTTCCATCTTCTAGGAACATATAAAAAGACAGCATTATAAATGGGGGATAAGTGGTGTCATATATCCTCCTCTGTTGAGAGATGGTTTCCCTATTCTGGTGTAAATAGCCTCCTTCACTCCTCTTTTAAACCATCTGTCTTCCCCATCCAAATACAGTAATGGAATCACAATGTTGTTGCATTTTCCTCCTTGTCTTTACCTCTCGTATGAAAGATGAGGATAGCAAGAACAACAACGTGGCTTTTTTTGGAGTGTGGCATACACATTGAAGAGGACCGGAACCTCCACATTGGAGTATACAGGAAACCCACACACACAGACCAGTACTTACGTAAAACTATCACAACCTACTAGAGCACAAGCAAGGAGTTGTCAAAACTCTGCACCACCAAGTTGATAATGTACAAACAAGTGCCCTCAGAGAAGGAGTACAAAAAACTGAAGGATGAAGTTAATTGTGGATAATCTAACTGGACCCAATATGAAAACAACCACAAGATCCAGGAAGAACTCTAATACTGTGGTTGGTGAAGAAACGAGGAAAGAACTGCTTCATCGTCATTCCATACATGTCAGGAGTGTCAGAGAACCTCAAGAGGATTTTCAACAAACACCACATCCCTGTGTTTTTCCAACCCAGCCACAAACTAAGATAGAAACTGGTCCACCTGAAAGACCCCACCCCAAACACAAGAACAGCAACATAGTGGATGCTCTCCAGTGCAGTGAGGAATGCACAGATTTGTATATCGGGGAAAGCAAACAACCATTAATCAAACGTATGGCTCAACACAGGAAGGGTAACTTCTCAGTTTAAGACTCTACCTAAATCTGGGGAATAAGGGACACTCTTTTGAAGACAACAACATACATATTTTGGATAGAGAGGACTGATAGTTTGAAAGAAGAGTGAAGCAGGCTATCTACTTCAAAGTAGAGAAACCATCTCTCAAGAAAGGAGGATATCTACCAAAGTTATCCCGTACATATAATGCTGTCCTTCATCTCTTTCCCAGGAGAGTGAAAATTCCAAAGACTGTTTTTTACAATTGGCCTCAGTTGACTCCATGGACCTTACCATTTCAGTGGCAACAGGGGTGACGAAAAATGTTATTGCCAGTCACTACTAGCCTTGTGGTAAATGTCATGACAGGACATGGTGATCAATCATGAGAGAAATAACTTTTTAACATATGTTTATGTGGTAACAGGGTTGACACACTGAGCTTGTCCCACTACCAAAAAAAATCCATTATAGGAGGTGACAATTACTTGACTTTTACCATAAACTTCATAAAAAGGCAAGTGATGTCACTTCCTGGGAATTATGCAACTTTACTTAGGGACACGCCATTTTCAACATTTCCGCAAGATGCTTTGCACTAAAAAGTGATTAAAATTATAAAATATTTTATTTGTTTTATGGTTTATTAAGATTTAAAGAGCTTTTTTTCCCTGAGAGACTTAAAATGGCACGTTTTCGTATAATGACCCCGTTCATTCTGTTGTTAGAGATCAGAGCCTGAAAACCCGCTCCAGGGTTTGGTTGACGTGGTTTGATTTCCGAAGTGTCTCCGTGATTCATGTTTTGAGAGTGATTTTTCTTTCAGTTTCTTCTCTTCAAGATGGCGTTTCTCTTTTCTTTGTTCTGTGAGTTTCCCGCGGCGCATGCACGCTGCAGCATGTGTTGTGTCGGGAGCGTGCAGAACAAACAATGATGGTGAAAAATTAATCGGTCACTAGATTTCCTCGTGTGTTGGTGAGGTTATCACAGTGACAAATAGTCTGCCTGCATTATCGTGCTTGTTTCAGCTCTAAATAGTATTTGTGGAGACTCTTTGTAGACATCAGCAGTCTTTCCTCTAGGAGTCCAATGAAGGTTAAAGTCAAGGGCAACTGGACTTGGTTGAAGATACTGGAAGTCGTTTCGAAACGAGGGGTTTGGGGCTCCTCCCCCAAGAAAATTTTATGTTTTCCAATGAAAAATATGTAATTTAACATCATATAGGGCCATTATTTTCAGCTAGAGCAGTTAATAAATAACCAACAGCCAAAGATCAGTCTGCTGGAGGAACTACAACCTTTAGATCTGGAGAAAGTAATTTGGTTGGTTCTGTTGCTCCACAGTGATTTTACAGTGAAGGCACAGCATGTTTTGGACGTCACCCCTAAGCCTTAACGGCAGGAAAACCCTGTTAATATGACCTCATTATATATACGACTGTTCATGTTTGCCTTTTGTGTCTTCATTTTACAGCTTCCGGCATTTATCTGTAGACATTAATATAAAAAATAGGCAGCATGAGAAACCTCCTCCCTTCTGAGGTGCATTTTATTTGCACATTAAAATCCAAAAAGAATTCTCCTCGTTAGCTTAAAAGGACTAATTTGCATCACTAATTAGCTTTACTAACCTCCGTCCTTTCTTTTCCAAAACCACTTTTTCAGACTAAAAACTGAAAAATAATTGAATCAGCAGGACGGAGCTGCAGGCTACATCAGTTTAGTCTAAGTTTGTACCTGATGTGCTCAACATTTGAAAAGTAAGCAGTAATAAAATACAGCTATCAGTTACTTTCTATAAATTGAGCTAATGTTAAGTGACATAGCGGCTCCGTAGCTGCTGTAGAAGCTGCTCAGCTGCAGTCTGAAGATGTTAGCTAACTTAGCACTAACAGGCTTCACTTTTCCAGCAGGTAGGAAACAACAGACTTTTCTTGGTCTTGAGAAGCTGACACTCTGTAACAGACACCGCACATTTATTGCCAGAATATTTTCCTCCGCTCGCGTTCATCACTTTCTGCCGCTCGGACAAGAAAACGCTCGCTACGCACCTCCTGATTCAGAGTTACGCTGCTCTTATAACACCATCTGTCACGTATGTTCTGCATAGAACGAGGAGAGGAAGCGAGCCGAGCAGTGCCGTGCTGTGCTCGCACAGTGTGCGAGTGAAAACATTTGTAGCTCATAGTTTAATGATCGTGGGAAATTTTAGGAGCGGCGGACCGCAAATAAATTTGCAAAAATAGCTGCCGTTTTAGCCGCTAGAAAAAGTTACTGCAAAGCATGGGATACTTCCTGTCGGCTCGGAGGCATTGCGAGGCTACCCAGCCGACCAATCACAGTGCTTACGGTCCGCGTCAACGTAGTTATATTTTTGAGGAGGTGCACGTCAGGTGACAGCGTAGCCTCTGTGTAGCCCCGTAGCCTACACCGGCGATTCGACACAGAAGTTACACTTTAGTGAATTGGTGGTGTCCATGATCACAGTGTTTTCAGAATATTTAATGTATGTTATACCTGGGTTAGTGCTCCTGCAGTCATCACTGTGTATACAGAACCAGTGAGGATACGAAAGCCTTGCTTCTTGGAAGAACTGAAGTGGGTTTATGTCCATTTATGAAGTAGTCCATGAAAAACACAATTATGTCCGCTGATGATCATGTATCATCATATGTGGATGTTTATTATCAAAATAAAATTAAATGTGAAAGGAATGGATAATGATGTCTCTCACACATTTAATTTCACTGTCGCATGTTATCTCTTTATCATTTAAATATTTAAAACAGCACTGGTATTTGTGCTTGTGCTATTGAGCCATAACGATTCCATATCGCACCTTTCGATAGATAGATAGATAGATATAGATAAACTTTTGTCATTTCACCTTGTATTTCCATACACAGAGAAACGAAAATTTTTTTCTCATCAGCTACTTTTGTAGTGCATTTAAAAGGACAATAAGAAATAAATAACCCAGCCGGAGACGTGAAGGCAACACAGAGGAATTCGCGTTAGTTGAATATTTTCAACTCAAGCGAGAAAGCTGCATGATGCTGATTCGCGATAGCCTATCAGTGTTGAGATTGTCCGTGACTGAGGCTTCAGAGCATTGTGTGGAGAGGGCCAGGCAGAGCGGTCGATTGAAAATCTGTAGAGCAGGTAGAAGCTCGGGTGCCTTTCATGCAGTCGTGAGCATAAAGAAGCTGTCACAGTAACTTTTCGTGAACTGACCAATCACAGCCTGGAGGGGGCAAAACATTAAAGTTTGATGCGCTAGTATGGTGATATCATTTTCCTCGATAACAATATAACAAATGTTTAATTAAGTGTTTGATTTAATTCATTTGAATCACAAACAAATCGGTGAATTTTTCTATTAAGATATTTATTTTGTTGAGAAAAAGGGACTGAAAGATTCCCTCCATCCATTGTCAACCGCTTATCCTGCGTACAGGGTTGTGGGGGGGTTGGAGCCAATCCCAGCTGACATCGGGCGCAAGGCAGGGTACACCCTGGACAGGTCACCAGTAGACTGAAAGATTACTTAATTTAAATTTATTTAATCAGAATTGTTTTGAATGTTTGTTTTACCTCAGATTTTTTAAGTGATCCACTGGCATCAAGTTACATTTATCATGAGAATTGTTGATATTGAATGATATGAAATGTTTTATTGTGATAACATCTCCGGCCATATTGCCAGCTCTAAGTACCAGCACCTATATTTAATGCTCAAAATCAAATGAAAACAGTATACAGCTATCTTATCGCCTTGTTCTTGTGAACCCATTATCCTGTTACGCTTTTGCCCCCTTGTCGTAAACATCAAACACATTTCAGGCACAGAAAAATGTCTTGCTTTAAGCCCTGTACTCATAATGTGGTACAGTAGGTTAGCATGTGATTTCAAAGATGTGCTCTAACGTCATTTATGGTTATAGATAGCTCGCTGCACCATGACATCCCACTTACTGTTTTTCTCTCTGTTGATATAGAGAAGGAGAAGAAGAGATGGAATCAAACATCATCGCTGTCAGCACTGTGACAAATCCTTCACAACATCTGGATATTTGAAGATTCATCAGAGACTTCACACTGGAGAGAAACCGCACAGCTGTGACCAGTGTGGGAAAACTTTCACTGCATCAGGTAACCTAAAAATCCACCAACGTGTTCACACTGGAGAGAAACCGTACAGCTGTGACCAGTGTGGGAAAACTTTCACTGCATCAAGTGACCTGAAAAAACACAAACGTGTTCACACTGGAGAAAAACCTCACCGGTGTGAACAGTGCGAAAAAACTTTCACTCAATCAGGTGCCCTAAAAATCCACCAACGTGTTCACACTGGAGAGAAACCGTACTGGTGTGAAAAGTGTGGGAAAACTTTCACTCAATCAGGTGCCCTAAAAATCCACCAACGTGTTCACACGGGAGAGAAACCGTACAGCTGTGAAAAGTGTGGGAAAGCTTTCACTTTATCAGGTGCCCTAAAAATCCACCAACGTGTTCACACTGGAGAGAAACCATACTGGTGTGAACAGTGTGGAAAAACCTTTTCTCAATCAGGTGACCTAAAAAAGCACAACACAACACAGCACAACAACAGAAGTACCCGTAGAAGACACAAATGCATTCACAAAGCATCAGTGTGACAGTTTTCACAGAGCCGAGCTAGCGGTTTCCTCCTGCCCTGAATACAATACTAATACTGAGGAAGTTTGATTTTGAAAGAGCTGGAAAGCGTCAGTCCAGAGGGTTTATAAATTCAATTCAGTTTTATTATTATCACAGCATATGCTATGCTAAAAGTGTGTGTGAATGTATATATTTCTATTGCATAGCCAAAATTACTAGATAGGCAGGGTGCAACGACTGTGGGATTTTTCTGTGTGGTGTAACGTTAGGCCCAGGTATCTACAGCATTTCACTCTCATACTCCCCTAAAAATAAATCCTTGCGAACCGGAAAACTGATTTACAAGTCAGTTACAACCGAACGTAATCTTCTGTTTTGTTGGACCGAGCACTGACCGCTTGAACAGCCCCGTTACTCAAACAGAAGAGCAAGATGCGTTGTCAACAGGTGAATCGGTAAGACCGAAGATCAGAGGTGTGGACTTAAGTCACGTGACTTGGACTCAAGTCAGACTCAAGTCACCTAAAACAATTTATGAAATTATAGAACGTGTTGTGTGAAACTGCGCCTCTGCCTTCTTTCTCTACATTTTTTAAAAAACTATTGAAATGGTTTTTAAATTTGGTGAAGAGCTCATTATGTGTTGCGCATTTCATCCGTTTCTTTAACGCTATCACTCACTGCTTCCCCGGTGCCACCACGGCTGACATTTAAAAAAACTCCAGGACTTATGCCGTCGCTCGCGTCCTCCATCACAAGAGTGATAGTCCATGTCGGAACAAATGACACAGCTCTTCACCAGTCTGAGCTGACAAAATCAGATTTTAACCGTCTTCTTAACTTTTTAAAGCAGTGTGGAAAGTCTGTTTTTATCTCTGGTCCATTCCCACAGTTGGTCGCGGTGCTGGCCGCTTCAGTAGAATCCTTGGCCTCCACGACTGGCTCCAGTCCGCCTGCAGGGCTCACCGTGTGTGTTATGTGGATAATTTTAATATTTTCTGGCAAAGAATGTCTCTTTTTAAGACAGACGGACTTCACCCAAACAAACGGGGCTCAGAAATGTTAGCTGCTCACATACAGCATGTGGTGCGGTCCACACATGACTTACGTGAATGACTAATCATTCATGCAGCACACCTGGACACACCACCGCTCACTGAACAGATCTCTGCCTCACTGCCACAAACAACTGTCTCCACCTGCTGGCATGTAAAGCCGTCTGCTCCCAGCGCTGTTCCAAAGACTTCTATTCCTGTCATCATCACGCATAGACCAGTAAACCAAAATGTGCACATCCAACACAGAAATATTAGTAATCTCTTAAGGATTAGGACAACTGCACCAACTCCAGCACCCAGAACAAACTCATTTAAAATGGCTCTCTTCAATGTGAGATCACTTTCAAGTAAGACTTTTATCTTAAATGATTTTATCTTGTCTGCAAATCTAGATTTTATGTTTTTAACTGAATCCTGGTTGCAAATGAATGACTATATCCAGCTAGCTGAACTGTGTCCGCCTCAATATGATTGTTTTAGTCAACCGAGGGTCAGTGGTCGTGGTGGTGGGCTAGTGAGCGTGTATAGGGAAAATTTAAAATGTCATCAAGTACGCTGTGATGAATTTAACTCTTTTGAAGTTCTCACTCTTAAAGTTGGAGGGCTGCAACCTGTCATATGTTATAATTTATCGCCCCCCCCAAAACTGCCTGGAGGATTTTTATCAGAACTTCCTGAATTTTTATCTACTCTGGTTTTAAATTATGACAGAATTGTTCTTTGTGGCGATTTTAATATTCATGTTGATGACCCAACAATGTTAATGCAACTGACTTTTTAAATATGGCCACTTCTTTTAACTTCAAACAACATGTCAAAGGGCAAACACATAACCGTGGTCATACACTGGACTTGGTTTTTACCCTGGGTGTCAGCATTTCCTCTGTGTTAGTGGACATATATCTGACCACAGATGTATTGTTTTTAGCTGCGATTCGCCTGTTACTCATGCCGCCTCACCAAGCTCTGTGTGTTCTCGCATCTTTAATGAACAGAGTGTTTCAAAGTTTTGCGCATTCTTTCAGAGCCAAAGCCAACACCTGTCTGATTCCAACACCAACAATCTGGTCAATCACTTCAATCAAATCTGCTTGTTGTCACTAAATATTACTGCTCCTCTAAGGTTAGGCCTACGTCTAAAGCTAGTAAGCAACCCTGGATAAATGACAGCATTCGCAGCCTAAAAAGGGAATGCAGGAAAGCAGAGCGCAGGTGGAAAAAATCCAGTCTCCAAGTCCATTAACTCAGTCTGAAGGATTTATTAATTAACTACAATAACATGGTTAAGGATGCGAGAACACACTATTTTTCTGAACTCATTACTACACATAAACACAATCCCAGGTTTCTGTTTAAGACTGTGGATCAGCTGGTAAACCAACCCCTCCTTGGCCTCAGCTGGAAGTAATCATGACTGTGAATTGTTTTTATCTTATTTTACCAATAAGGTGGTGTCAATCAGAGCCTCTATTACCCCTGCGGCCTCTTACTCAGAGGTTCCTCACCAGCAACAAGAGAGTTTTAACCAGTTTTATCCCATCGACTTGTCTGAGCTTTTAAAAACAGTATCACAAATGAGAGTGTCCTCCAGCCCACTTGATATAATACCTACAAAGTTTTTACTGAAAGTAACAGATTCTTGTTTTCAACAGCTCCCTATCTACTGGTTGTGTCCCTGATTATTTTAAAACGGCTTGCGTGAACCCACTTTTAAAGAAACCTGGTTTAGAACGTTCCCTCCCACATAATTTTAGACCAATTTCAAAACTGCCTTTATTGCAAAGATTCTAGAAAGAATTGTGTCCAAACAGCTGCTTACTGTGCTGGAAAATAACAAATTATTTGAAAAGTTTCAGTCTGGTTTTAGGAAGTACCACAGCACTGAGACTGCCCTGCTTAAAGTCACCAATGACCTTTTAATGTCTGCTGATGAAGGCATGTGCTCAGTCCTTGTACTCCTGGACCTTAGAGCTGCTTTTGACACCATTGATCACAACATCATGTTAGACAGACGGAGGCACTGGGTGGGGATCTCTGGTACTGCCCTAGAATGGTTTTCATCCTACCTGTCAAATAGGAAGTTTTGTGTGTCTGTAAACAACTATGTCTCCTCATTCTGTCCAGTTAAATATGGTGTGCCTCAGGGGTCGGTCTTAGGACCCACTTTGTTTTCCTTGTATCTGCTTCCCCTTGGACATATTATCCATAAACATGGCATTTCTTTTCATATTTATGCTGATGACACACAAATATACTTGCCCGTCAGATCCACAGACCCTGGAATGCTGAGTTCACTTAACAACTGCCTTTGTGAAGTTAAAAAATGGATGTCAAATAATTTCCTCCAGCTGAACTCAGACAAAACAGAAATCCTGGTCATCGGGTCCCAGCAGATGGCAAATCAAATACTGCCATCTGCTGGTTCCCTAGTAAATCACATTAAGACTGTGGCAAAGAACCTTGGTGTTTGGTTTGATAGTAATTTAAATTTCGAGCAGCACACCACAAAGCTTGTTCAATCATGTTTTTATCAACTTAGAAATATAGCTAAAATTCGATCAATGTTAACTTTTAAGGACACCGAGACCATTTTACATGCCGTCATCTCATCACGCCTGGATTATTGCAACAGCCTTTTCACCTGTTTAACCCAAAAATCTATTGATCGACTCCAGACTGTCCAGAACTCAGCTGCCAGGCTTTTAACCAGAACAAAGAAATATGACCACATTACTCCTATTTTAGCTTCATTACACTGGCTCCCAGTATGTTTTAGAATTGACTTTAAAATTCTATTGATCACATTTAAAGCTCTTCATGGCCTCTCGCCTTGTTATATTTCTGACGTTTTAGTCCCATACGCACCAGCACGTACCTTGAGATCCTCGGGCAGAGGTCTGTTGTCTGTTCCAGAGTCTCGACTGAAAACTAAAGGGGACAGAGCGTTTGCTGTCAGGGCCCCGAGGCTCTGGCCGAGGAAATCAGCCCGAGGAAATCAGGTCGGAGTCAGTGAACCCTTTTAAGTCCCTTCTTAAAACATACTTTATAGGAGAGCTTTTCCCGATTTTATTTGACTCTATTTTATCCCTTTTATTTATTGTATTTTACAAATTTTATATTTATCTTAAATGTGTATTTTAGTCTTTTCAATGTTTTCATGCTTTTATCTTGGGTATTATTGTCTTTACACTTGTAAAAGCACTTTGTAACTTCTTTTTGAAAAGTGCTCTCCCTCTGGTGTATGAGCTCTGCCCTTCAGCTGAATCACTCTGTTATTCTTACTTTTAATAAATATCACAAAGTCACCCGTTAGTTGTAACGTCTTTATTTTTAATTTCTTCAGAAGGAAATTTACCATTTCCACCACAAATCAGTAGGTGTAACCTCAGACGGCCAATCACATGTACCACGACATGTTGTTCACCATCATCCCGTCAGGTCTATGAGGGCTGGATTGAAAATAAATCTATAAAGTTTTATAAATTACTCTCAAAATTGGTACCACAACCTGGGGCTGCATTAAGGCTGCAGTATCAATGAGCATCGCTGCTGTCAATTTTGGAGACGTTTGTCTATGATGATCTTGGTAAAGAAAGATTTTTGGTTTAGAAACACAAACAGAACAAAAGGACGTACAGTCACAGACGTCACTACATAGATCTGAAGATCATTTTCTTTCTAACCTGCTCTGACTCCAGGACATGAACCTTCCCGTCTCCATGGTGATGACCCCGCCCACCCAAGCTGAGGAGGGATTGGATGATGGTTGCCATGTTGTCATCACCATTGTGTTTTCAAAGGAGCATGATGAAAGTGAAACGTCCTGTTTTGATCCTGCAGTCACAAGTGTTCTGAGGATCCTGTAGAT